TTCAGAGTCCCTGGGTGGTGTAAGCAGTCAACATGATTGGTTGCTAACTGAAATGTTGGAGGTTCAAGTCCATCTATAGACTCTTCAGAAGAAAGGCCTACTTCTACTACATAGGCCACTGAAAACTTTGTGGAGTGCAGTTCTACTCTGGCACACTTGGGCATGACCAACTTGCTTTGATCTTGCCATGAGGTAAGAAGAGTGAGTGGGTTTGGCAATCCTAGGCTTATCCTTGGGTTGTACTTTTATAATAGCATAAAGTATAGATTGCTTACATTGTCCCCTGCAATTAGATTTTGCCTTGTGATTATCACCATGTCTCCTACTTAAAAATTATTCACTTTCTGGATTTGCATTAACCAACCCATCCCCTCAAATCCATATCACAATAATTATCTCTAGATGAGAGTAGGTAGTTCAGAAAAGATAACTGTTGGATTTTAATCAGGGAAAGAGAATAAGTTGCATAGGTACTGCATGCTAAGACTTAAGACTCAGGGGCTTCCTCTGCCTCACTTGATAATTCCACGAGATCTGGAAGGATGAGCTATTTAGCTAGCAAATATTTGGTGGATTCCCAAAAAGAGACACTGGCTTCCCTGCTTCCTTTGTTACTTACCTGCTATTAAAATGCCCCAGATGATATACCTAAGGGTGGTTTTGTGTTTTCTACAAATACCACAAATTGCATCATATTTCTTTTCCAGACACCTGTAGCAACACAAAAGCAAAAAGATCGACAGAAGCAAATACCAAGTACATGAAATAAACTGGCATGTTAAGGTTGGGTTTGGTGGTTGACTTTGGGAAACCACTCTAATTCATGAAATATGTGTCCTATAAAATAGGAATGGGAAGCGTTCATTTCATTTTGCAATCAATTTCACCAAAGCTTGAATCAATGCTTATTAACTAACTGCGCTAAACCTTGGGGATATACTGCTGTTACTGTGAGCTGTGGAGTCAGTTCCGACTCCGTGACCTTATACAGGGTTTGCAAGGCTGTAACTCTTTATGGGAGCAGAAAGCCTCATCTTTCTCCCTTGGAGCTACTGGTGGATTTGAACTGTTGATCTTGTAGTTAGCAGCCCAACACATAACTTATCAGGGCTCCTTTGAGGGGATATAGTGGTGGTGGTAGTGGTGTGCCGTGGAGTTGGTTCCAACTCATAGTGACCCTGTATAATGTTTCTGAGGCTATAAATCTTTACGGGAGCTGAAAGCCTCATTTTTCTCCTGAGGAGCAAGTAGTAGATTTGAACAGCTGACCTTGTGATTAGCAGCCCAGCTCATAACCCACTACATTGCCAGGGCTCCTTTTTGAGAGGATCTAGAGTTGTAGAAAGCATGCTCTGGTAATAGAGAAGAGGAGATGAATAGCTAGCCAAAAGCTGAAATAAACTACAGCAGAGTGTTTCTAGTTAGATTCTAAGAGCTTCTATTAGATTAAGCCAGTGGTTAATAAATTTTTATTAAAAAAATACAAACCTAACAAGCTTGTTCACTCCTTCTGGTTCCACTAAATTCTGGCAAGTTGATGCTTCTTTGTCTTTGATCATCACCCTCTTTAATCTAAGGCTAGAAGCCTTCCCTGGATATTTGAAATGTAAAGTATGGTTTTGTTTACTTGAAGCCTGCTCACCAGTGGGTTGTAATGTGTATTATTCCAAAAGCTCTGGAATTGTTGTCATGTTCTTGTTTACATCCTGGGCTTTGTTGTAGGGTCAATGGATAGTGTGTCAGCAGTGTGAATACATCACCACTTCTCCTGATGAGGATGGTGTCCACCAGCCCACGGCAGTGAATTTAGAGAGACCACAGGGTTGTATTCACAACAACTGTCCTCAATCTTTCCTGAGATGCTCCTGGTCCCCTCCACACCTGAGCTGAAACCTGTCTTTGTTGCAAGCAATGTGTCCTCCTGTGAGAAGCCTAGTGGAAAGGGTCTACTTGCACACTTAGCCCTTGCCATCTCCAGGCCATTGGCCAACATTTCTATATTAACCATTTCTCATCCCATTGGATGCATCCCAATCTCTGGGATCTCAAAGCATCCAGTCCCCAGATGGGAAACCTCCTCTCCTCTTGTTAATGTCCTCATTTCCATTCCTTTTTGGTAATCATGACAACATGTTCAAGTCTCGATCACCTTTCAAATTTCAGTACACATTTCCAACATCTAGCTTCTCTGTAGCCTTCGTAGATCTCTTTGGACAGAAATGGTCCTCTGCAATTTCTTCGATGGTTGTGTTTTGTTATGAACCCATGGCTGACTATAAGGCCCTGGAGAAGAAGTGTCTGAGAGCTCCACAGCTCTGGGAGTAGGCCCTAGAAGGTGCTCAACAGGCTTTTATTGAGTTAATGCTATTGAATTAATAGATCAATGAAATAGGAGGACACATTGCTTATTTGGACAGTATTTTACAAATGCGAGGTGGACTGTGAAGTGAACAGAATGCATCGTTAAACAAAAAAGAGTAAGAAATATCAGCGTGTATCACACATATTAATGGTAAGTATTATGTCATAAAACTTTTGTTGAGTGTATTGACAACTAGAAACTATTGGAGACATGAACATGTAGTGTAGATGAACTTTTTCATGGTTTAACCTAGGAAAGACAAACCATGTGTTATCCTGTTACTGATGTAGTAGTGTTCAAGAGTAGCAGGGGTGGAGGGTGACATTTAATAGGACCCATCTGCTAGGTTGGATTGATCAGATTTTTAAATTGCAGTAAATGTGTGCAAACCATTATCGCAATCTGACTCTTGAACCATTTGGTTATCAAGGCAGAATGACTCTCGACCTCATGGTTGGTATTTTGGTCCTATTAACACTGAGTGTAACTTGAGTACTTCTGTCCACCCAAGGGGATTTCTCAGGCTCCAGGGTCCTTCTGAGATCCATGAAAGATGGAACTGAGCTCAGGTTTCTGAGGTGGTAGATATTCTAGTTGACATATATGTGACAAGAGCTCCAACCTAATTCGGAGCAAACAAAGTTCCTTAAAGAAATGGGAGTTTAAATCAAATTTTAATAAGAATTTAGGAACTCTAGTGTTATGGTCTCTGGTGTGATGATATAGGATAAGCACTGGATCGTAAGGTCAGTTTGAACTTCCAAGCTGGCAATTCAAACTCACCAAATGCTCCTTGGAAGCCCTAAACAGGGTCACTATGAGTAGGAATTGACTCAGCAGCACTTAGCAACAACAACAACAACAGTGTTATGGTAGGGTACCAGACAATACTGGATTATGAATTTAGAATCTGAAAATGTAATTTAACTGTATTTCTGGGTAAGTGCTTCTCTGAACTTTGTTTTTCTGGTCTGAAAAATAAAAATAACTTTGTCTTTTCTATTTCTGGGGTTATAACTACTTGAAGATATCATAACTTAAATTGCGTCTCTAGATACATTGAAGTCCTAAACCCTGTACTTATAAATAGGATCCTGTTTGGAAATAGGGTTTTTCTCTTGTTATATTTATGAGGTCACACTAGAGTAGAGTGGGCTCTAAATGTTATCTCTTCAGTTAAGGTTTTATAAAAAGCAGAACAGAAACAGGGAGAAGACATATTTTAAAGATTTCTCTACAAGCCAACCAATGCCAAGGGATGCCTGGAGCTACGGCAAAGAAGGACTGTTCCCTAGAACCAGTGCTGATCTGGCCTTCTATTCTTCCAAACTGTGAGAGAGTGATGTTTCTGCCACCCATTAGTGATATGTATATATATATATTTGTCACAGCAGCAGCAGGTAACAAAGACTGAGTACCTTCAGGATACTACAAGATAAGCACATCCACTTGTTGAGATGTAAAGTTAATTGAGTTGTAGGAAACTAATTGCTTATTGATTGACACCGAGAAGATTAATTTATTGAGAAGATGGATGAACTCCTTTGGTATGGACTGGAGCAATTAATTAGAAGACTGTCCTGGGTGAATTCAAATAGGTATACTGGGTTCCCAGGATACCAGCAGTTTGAATTTACCACATTGATCATCCCAGAGGACCATTAACTTTTTAAAAAGTGGCATTGGGTAGATCGTGGGGAGGGAAATTGGTGGTAGTGACGATCTTGAATAAACCAAAATTAAATGTAAAAAATTAAGTGAGGATAAAGAAAAGTGGCAAAACTAAACAGAAGGTTGTTGTTGTTGAGTGTTGTTGAGTCGGTTTCACCCATAGTGACCCTGTATAGGGTTTCTGAGGAGTGCCTGGTGAGCTTGAACTGCCAATCTTGCAGTTCAAATGGCTTTGCAGTCCGGCGCATTAACCAACAGCGCCACACCAGGACTCCAAAACAGGAGGTAGGTGTGGTTATTTCCCTGGTTTAAACACTGTACCCTTTTGGATGTATGTCTTCATTGTTTTCCATGTCTTCGGTGCCTTTTGGAGACTCTTGCTCAATACTGACATACTCTTCCCCCTGGATATCAAACATTAGAGTAAAGAAGGAAAGATGAAAACTCTGGGCAAAATGAATCCAGAATTCCTTTGCTCAGAATGTAGGCAAAAACCATTCAAAGAATTCTTTCAAATCATGATGAAAGAAGGTTGCTTCTATTATCTGCTGTGCAGACATTTCCTCGCTTATACCACAAAAATCCAGGGTGATACTCATCTTGCCCCCTTTCTTCCAAATGAGCCATTGCATTTTCTCTTTTTCTTTGGGGAGCAGGCTCATAGTTCTGCTTTTTTGCTCCTATCTTTATGGCAATCATTCAACCCCAGCTTTGTTTTCAGGCACATGCTAAATGAAATTAATAGAAGGGACCATATAAATCTCCCTTTATGCCCCACCAGCACCAATTTTGAAAGGATGAGATCAAAGCTGGTTTTATTTTCTGTCTGCACACACTGTTGTCTGCATGTGTGACCACTAGTTCAGTGCCTGATATACCTCCCCTTGGGACCTGGGATCTTTCCATCAGTTGGGCTAACACGGAGGAGGGGGGCATTTATCTTTTTCTGCTAATCACAGATCTAATTAGTTGTGTATATATACATGGATCCTCTTTATAGGCAAACTTTCTAGGAGCGGCTTTGAGTTTTCAAATATTCACAACCATCCTGTTCCTCCTATGATGGCATAAAGGATCTACTATCATCCTCCATCTTCCAATAACAATTCAAATAATCTTTCCAGACATTGTGAACAATGACACGAGCCTGGCAAGGAATAATAGATATAGAGGGAAATTCTGAGCATGCTCTAAGAGGTATAATGCCAAATCTCAGCTTTTTTTTTCTAATAGATTCATTGTGGCTTTGATTCTCTTTATTTTATATAGAAATAAATCTTTAGTGTGTCTTTGAGTTGAAAGGATTCTCCAAGGTCATTTAATCCATTGATGCCAAACTTCATTATATTTTGGACTTAACTACTTTCATTTTCTGGGCTGAATCCTAGGAACAAGGAGAGTGAGACATTGGGAGAGAGAACAGCTGAGACCAAACTGTAGCTGCTGAAGACAGGGCTGGAGACGTGTGTTATTCATTTTCTTCCATCTAATATCCAGCTTGATCAATAGTTTGGCAAATATTTGATTTAAATGATTCTAATTAGTATTGCCTGATAGTGAAATTACCCACAAATACCTGCTACCTGTGGAATATTCAGCACTACTATGGTTTTCTTTTTGTTTGTTGAACAACAATATTTAGTGACATGCACACTTTTAAAAATAAATTAATTGAACTAGATAGCTATTAAATAATATAAATAGCACGATTCCCAACATGGGCTATACAATTGTATGTGGGTGTATAGTTGCATAACAATAATGGAAGGCTATATTCCAAGATGTTGAATGCTGATTTTTTTTCTGGAATTACTTAGGCCATTTACTATTTTCTACATTTTCATGAGTTAAAATTGTGCACATCTTCTACTAGTTATTCTTTTATAAAGAGAAAACTTCCCATACTAAACAACACAAGCTCCCCACAATGAATGGCATAATAGAAACCAAACCAAACCCACGAGTACTGAGTCAGTTGTGTTTCATAGTAACTACATAAGATTTCTGAGTGTGTAAATCTTTATAGGACCAGAAAGCCTAATCTTTCTCCCTTAGAACCTATGATGAGTTTGAACTGCAGACCTTTTAATTAGCAGTCCAGTGTTTATCTTATAGAGCCAACTGGGATCCTTGAGCATAATAGAAGGCACTACAATAGCTTTTTAAAGGATTAGCTACATGGGTGATTTGCTCATGGTTTAGCAGTCGAAGTCTTTCTTCAAATGAAACCCTTCCCACAACTTCAATATGTAAAAGTGCTAAAAGAGGTGTTGTCAGGATGGGGATGGGAAGGCATGGAACAGCGTCTCCTCAGCCTTGCTGTGTCCTTAGGGACCACTAAGGAGCCCTAGGGAATAGAGGGAGTGATGGAACACAGTTTTTGAACCACATGTTAGAGACTTCTTGCCTGGTTTATTACTTTAAAATTCACATGTGTTTGCATAAGCCAATGCTTTTGCCTGGTAATGAACTTAACATTTTGTCACAGTGAAACCTCAGAAGAAGCCTTCCCATCAGGGAACTTTGAGGACAGATGCATAACACTAAAATCTCTTTGGGCATGAGTGTTTTCTTCAGAACTCCACTTTACAAACTCTAATTGCCATTGAATTTATTCCTCCACGTGCCAGCTGAGCACGTGCTTTCTGTTCCAACCATTGTTGGGGGCCCCCCCGCTGCCCAGTGGTTTCCATGGTTACAACTTGACTCACAGCAGTTCAGCCATACCTGCTTGGTGTTGACGTCTTCTCCCTTTTGTACCACTCTGTTCCTGAGTGAGTTGTTTTCTGATGTGTTTTGGTTTTCAAGAAAGCCTTCCTCATTCTAAAAAAAAGTATAGATTGCAAAAATAAAATGTCAGAGCAAAGAAAACAAAAAATAAATGTATGAAACCACAATGACTTTTGAAGGACCGGGCAAGTAAATATGAGGTGTTCCAGTCGTCTGATTCAAGTAACAATTAGTGCCACTTGGGCTCATGAACAAACATAGATGAGTTTCGTTTTGTTAGGAATGAAAAGATGTGTGTGGTCCGATTTGAGGACAACAGTTCTCACTTAGGCCATCTAAAGGATTGGTAGGAATTGGAATCGACTTAATGGTAATGGTTTTTCTTTGCTTATTTGTATCTTTTGTGTTTTTTTGGGTATAAAATACCAACAATTGTGGGGACAGTGCAGGACTGAGTAGTCCTTCATTCTGTTGTCTGTAAGGCCTCTATGAGTTAGATCTAACTCGACTGGCAACTAACAACAACAACAACAGGCCATGTAACTTTTTAGTAAAGAGAACTGGGACTGAATGCAGGTTTTTAGTCCGCTTTCAACTCATAAAATATAGTAAACCACAGGCTGGATAATGTTATTCTTAGATGATGAATTTGTGACATGTTAAAATGTGTTTCTTTGATTTAAACCAAGCTCTGGTAATAATAAGCAGAAGAAAAACATGGTCTTTGTTGATGCCATCTTGGATTTACTTTAAGAAGTTATGTAAGGTTTGCTCCTGGAGGAGTTTCCTGAGTCCCTAGCTGCTGTTCCAGATGTGACAAACGCTTGGCTCATTTCTTTCTTATCTTTTTTGGGTTCTAATCTTTCTCCCCTTTTATTTCAAGTATCTTTTTACAGGGTGCTGCAGTGACCACATGTCTGTCAGTGGAGGTTTGCATGCTACTATGGTCTGAACAGGTTTCAGGGGAGTGTCCAGACCAAGATGGAAATGAAAATCTGGTAAGCCCTTCTGAAAATCAGTCCGTGAAAACCCTATGCATCACAACTGTCCTACCCACAACTGATCATGGGACGGCGCAGAACTGGGTGGCGTTTGGCTAGGCTGTGCATGGGGGCTGGCTGGACAGCAGCTTACAACAACAATAACAAAGTTCAAGTAAGAGAACCGATAATGTTAGGAGGTCCCTACAACTTTTTAGGAAATTCCCTATCTTTAATGATTGTCTGTCTTTAATGAATCACAGTGACTTTAATATTGCCCACATGGTCTGGCGTGGCACTGTTGGATAACTACTGGGCTACTAACAACAAGGTCAATGGTTCAAACCCACGTGGCCCCTCAGAAATGCTGTACAGGGTTTCTATGAGTTAAAAATGACTTGACGGCACTTAACAACCACAGTGTTATACAGCAATGCAGTACCCCTGGGTTGTTGCTGCCCTCGAGTTGGTTCCAAACTCATATCGACTCTGTAAAGGGCTTCCAAGGAGCAGCTGGTGAGTTTGAACAGCCCACCTTAAAGTTCAAGCTGACCTTGAGGGCGAATGCTTATTCTCTGGCACCACTCAGTATAAAAAGATAATTTGTGTATATATATATATACACACACACACGCATACACACACACACACACACACACACACAGAGTCCTGGTGTGGCACTGTGGATTAATGCACTGAACTGCAAAGTTGGTTTGAACCACAAGGTTGGTGGTTCAAGGTCACCAACTGCTCCTTGGAAACCCTATAGGAAGGAGCAGCTGGTGAGCTTGAACTACTGACTTTGAGGTTCAGACCTACTTTCCAGTCCAGCGCATTAACCCAGGTTAATATACACATGTGAAGAGCACTTCAAGACATTTGTGGGAATATTCCATTATCTTTTAATTCAATTTTTTCCACAAACTCTTTGAAGTTCTCTATATACTGTGGGAAGATAGACTAATGTTCCTAATTGCTGAAGCTGGTTGATGGATATATTAAGGATATATTTTACTTTTAGGGATGGTGATGTTTTCCTTAATATCAAGTTGAAAATATAATTAAGTGTGAGTTGTAGAGAAGCAGGACACTGCAGGAGTGGGAGGGCTAGTCCTTGTTATTGTTAAGTGCCATCGAGTTGACTCTAAACTCATAGCAACCCTGTGTAGGGTTTCCAAGAAGCATTTGGTGGGTTTGAACTGCTGGCCTTTTGGTTAGCAGTCCAGCACCCCTAATTACATGTTCACACATGTTGAGGCAGTCATATCTTTCCAAGACTCAGCCCCCGAATCGATAGAATGCAGTTTCACTGATTTGGCATTTTCAAGGTCCCTTCCAGAACCCTGACTAACATTACCTGGTTTCCTTATGAACGTCAGCTTCTGATGCTGTTTATTCCTGCCCCCTGGTGGCAGAATCTGAAACATGTCTGGAATACAGGTTTATGGAAGAGGAAGAGTGCATGTGTATGTGTGGTAGGGGGAGAGAGTGGGCACTGCTTTGAATTGCAGCAACAGCACCCATGAAAGTGTTCCCCATTGTGTGATTGCAACTATTTTACTTCCAGCATATTTCAGAATGAGCAATATCTCCCTATTGAGCATTCCAACCAAAAGAATGGGTGTGTTGTGGATGTTTATTGGTGCCTGAAAATGCTCAAGACATCTGCTATTCTACTTCTTTTCAAATTGGACTCTTTAGTCTTCAATGAACCAAAACCAAACTCATTGCTTTCGAGTCAATTCCGACTCATAGTGACCTCTATAGGGCCGAAATGCACTGCTCCTTAAAGTTTCTGAGACTGTAAATATTGATGGGAACAGACAGACTCTTTGTTCTCTAAGGAGCAGCAATAGGGTTTGAACCAGCACTTCTCCTATAGCACCACACCAGGACTCCACAATGTTGCTATTGTTGTTAAATGCTGTTGAGTCAGTTCTGACTCATAGTGACCCTTTATAGGGTTTCCAAGGAGCAGCTGGTGTGTTTGAACTGTCAACCTTGTGGTTAGCCATCCAGAGCTTATCCTATAGCACCATGCCACGATGCCATAGTGTCACTTTGTTGTTGTTATTAAGTGCCGTCGAGTTGGTTCCAACCCATAGTGACCCTGTATAGGGTTTCTGAGGAGCAGCTGGTGAGCTTGAACCACTTACCTTGCAGTTCAAACTGACTTAGCAGCTCAGTGCATTAACCCACAGTGCCATACCAGGACTCCAAATATTGCTTGGACTGTTGTAGTTTATAGGGTTACACTGCTTTGTAGGAGTCCTGGTGTGGTACTGTGGGTTAATGTGCTATACTGCAAGGTTGGTTTGAACCACAAAGTTGGCAGTTCAAGCTCACCAGCCACTCCTCGGAAACCCTATGCAGGGTCGCTATGAGTCAGAACCAACTCAATGGTGCTTAACAGCAGCAAAACAATGCTGAGTAGATTCAGACTCCTAGTTACCCTTTTGGAGCAGAAATAACTGCTTCTTAGGGTTTCTGAGACTGCACATCTTTATGGGAGCAGAGAACCTCATCTTTCTCTGGCAGAGTGGCAGGTAAGTTTGAACTGACAACCAGCAATACCTCTCTTATATCAAATACAAGCCACTGCCACTGAACTGAATCAGAATTTTAGCAACACTATGTATAGGGTTTCTGAGACTGTAAATCTTTTTCCCACAGAGTGGCTGGTAGGTTTGAACTGTCGACCCTACTGTTAACAGTCCAGTGCTCATCCCATAGTGCCACTGCATTCCTTTCCCTGATGATGTTGTTGTTAAGTGCCGTGGAGTCGGTTCCGACTCATAGCGACCCTGCACATGGTTTCCGAGGCTCTAAATCTTTACGGGAGCAGAAAGCCTCATCTTTCTCCCGTGGAACCACTCGTAGTTTTGAACTGCTGACCTTGTGGTTCACAGCCCGATTTGTAACCACTACGCTACCAGAGGGTTCTGACTAATAATGACCCTGTAGAGGGTTTCTGAAGCTTTAAATATTCTCGGGAGCAGAAAGCCTCATCTTTCTCCCTAGAAGTGACTGGTGAGTTTGAACCACTGAACTTGTGGTTCAAACCAACCTTGTGGTCCAGTGCTTTATCCCACAGTGACACACCAGGACTCCATATAGATAGTTTTTAAAAAAATACAATATTCAAGGCAGGCAATCTTTACAAATTAAAGCTAATGTATTGTTTGATTGAGATAAGATTTCAGGGTATAGCTTTGGTTTAAGGTTTAAAGATGATTCCCCGACAGTAGCTTTAATGTCCCAATGCAACACCATTCAATACAGATAACATCAATATTACTAGAAAACAGTGGTTCTAGAATCAAGAATTTATGTTGATCCCACATCCTATGATCCATGTATATAATTTAGGAATTTTCAATTACTATTTTATGTAGTTGTTTGAATGTAGTTCTATTTTATCTTCAGAAAATGGATATAGAAAGCTTAAAGTTCAGACATATCACCGAATTTGGAGATCTGTTTCTGATACATTCATTTAGGCTCCTGTGGCTTAGAATATTAGAATATATGTGAAACCATCTTGGAGAAGTAGAGAAAACAATCTCATACCATTGGAGTCTTGGTGTGGCATTATGGGTTAATGTGCTGGCCTACAAAGTCAGTTTGAACCGCAGGGTTGGAGGTTGAAGCTCGCCAATCATTCCTTGGAAACCCTATCATTCCTTGGAAAATATTCAGGGTGGTTATGAGTTGGAATCCACTTGATGACACTTAACAACAACAACTTCTATATGGGACCAAATTTTATAGCACTGGAAAGATTAGATAGGAAGTTTAAGGGGTCATGAATTTATGCTAATGAGGGAGGAATGAATCTGAAAAAGAGAGTGGGAATGCCTGTTATCAATGAATTGTTCATATAGAAATTGTTGAATTCATGTACATTCTGCTGTATACATTCTCAAGTACAAAACTGAAAAGTTGGGGTTCCATGGTCATACATTTAAAAGAACCAACCCCTAAATCAAACCTATTCCTGTGGAGTTGATTCTGACTCATCACTGAGTGGCTCCTGGTGATGCTATAAGAGAGACAGAGTGGAACTGCCCCATGGCTTTTGGTATTTGTGTTGGTGATTGTGATGAG